TCGCAGGTTTTTACGGCGGGGGGTGGGGGGTGATCTCAGAAAAGAATCTAGAAAAGTAGGGGAAATGTGTTTCCTCCCCTTCACAAACACTGGTGGGAAGGGCAAAATCTGAGTTCAGTACATGCGCTTTCCCCACTTCTTTAGAGCACATGACCTTGCATCTTCTCTACTGCTACCTTTTTGAGTTCATTCCTTCTCTGGTTTCTCAGTGTCCTGTCTGGGGTGTTTTGCACATTTCACATGGTCCTCTTTGACTCTGTTTCCAAGGTGGCCCTAGTGGTCAAGAACCCACCTGTCAATGAAGGAGACATAGGAGACATGGGTTCAATCCCTGGGTTGGGAAGATCCCCCGGAGGAGGACATGGCAATTCACTCCAGTATTCCTGCCTGGAGAATCCCATGGACAGAGGAGCCTGGCGGGCTATAGTCCAGAGGGTCGCAAAGAATCAGACGCGACTGAAGCGACTTAGCACCAGCACACAGACTCAAGGAGAGTCACGGGTACAGGAGCAGTTTAGTTCTCAGTAAACCTGTGTTAACTGCAAGGCCCAGGTCAGATTGCACCCACGGCACTCCTCTAACTGAGACCGAGTGGGGCTCTGTGGGGCTGCGACATAGAGGCCCTTTTGTCCCCCATTTCTTCAGCCTCCATGGTGTCCCTGAGTTCCAAAGGGCAGACTGAAACAGTTGCTAATCAAAGGAGGAACAGCCATGAAACCACCTCCTGAGGCAACATTATAGGGACCAGAGAAGTTGATGGAGATTCAGTTCAGTTCAGTTCAGTCCGACACTTTGCGACCCCATGGACTGCAGCATCCTGGGCTTCCCTGTTCATCACCAGCTCCTAGAGCTTGCACAAACTCATGTCCATATAGTTGGTGATGCCATCCAACCATCTCATCCCCTGTCATCTCCTTCTCTTCCTGCCTTCAATCTTTCCCAGCATCAGAGTCTTTTCCAGTGAGTCAGTTCTTCACATCAGGTGGCTAAAGTATTAGAGTTTCAGCTTCAGCATCAGTCCTTCCAATGAATATTCAGAACTGATTTACTTTAGGACTGACTGGTATGATCTCCTTGCAGTCCAAGGAACTCTCAAGAGTCTTCTCCAACACCACAGTTCAAAAGCATCAGTTCTTCGGCACTCAGCTTTCTTTATAGTCCAAATCTCACACCCATACATGACTCCTGGAAAAACCAGAGCTTTGACTAGATGGACCTTTGTTGGCAAAGTAATGTATCTGCTTTTAATATGCTGTCTATGATGATCATGGCTTTTCTCCCAAGGAGCAAGCTCTTTTCATTTCATGGCAGCAGTCACCATCTGCAGTGATTTTGGAGCCTAAGAAAATAAAGTCTGTCACAGTTTCCCTTGTTTCCCCATTATTTGCCATGAAGTGATGTGACTGGATGCCATGATGTTAGTTTTTTGAATTTTGAGTTTTAAGTCAGCTTTTTCACTTTCCTCTTTCACTTTCATCAAGAGGCTCTTTAGTTCCTCTTCGCTTTCTGCCATAAGGGAGATTAGACCAACCTGACACCCTGCACACACCCTCATCTTATCAGAAACCCTGCCCCTGGAGTCCACCAAACCCAGTGTTGTGACAGTTCTGAAACTTTGCAGCAGAAAGAAGAATGCAAGACTATTACTGCCTTGATCCTTATCACCTACCCCCAACCCCAAGTCCTGCCTATATAACCTCCCCCTACTCCCCAGGGAGGCGGGGGGCACAGTTATTGAGGTGCTATCCTATAGTGTTTCCTTTTTGCCTGACGAGGAAATAAAATCACTCTATCTTTCTCCTCCGTAACTCTGTCTCTGAATTTCTGTTCGGGGCCAGTGCATAGAGATCCCTCACCTGCGAGACAGGAGACGGTGTGACTCCATCAGGCCCGTGGAGTCTTTGTGGGAGATTCTGAGAGAGCTACATCTGCGTGTGCTCAGCACACCATGGGGTGTTTTGAGAACCAGCAGACGCAGGGGGAAGCTCTAAGGGTGGGGCACAGGGTCTTCTTTTGAGAAGGAAATTATTTTGACAAATAGAATGTACATGTGCAGAGAAGTCTCTGGCTCTTGTGCCGAGGATGCTCCCCAAACCCTTCTCAGAGAGAAGGAGCGGGGTTAAACCAGCACAGTACCGATGCCGTGTATAAAGCAGATGCCTGGCGAGAACCTACCGCACAGCCCAGGGCACCCGCTGAGGGCTCTGTGGGGACCTGCATGGAGGGAAGTCCCAAGCAGAGGGATTCATGTACACCTGTAGCTGTTGCACTTTGCTGGGCAGGAGAAACTGACATTATAAAACAGCTATACTCCTATAAATGCTTTAAAAGAGAAATAAATCAACACACAAACTTCACTCAACGACCCTCATGAACCACAGGTTTCCTGGTCTTCTTCCCTGCTGCCTCTCTTCCTAGAATCCTGAACCCCTTTCTCCCTTGTTTTAGCTTCAGAAGGTACCTAACCCCCCGAGTTCTAGCCACTCCTGTGAGTGACTCTTGTCTGGGTTCTCCCAGGCGTCTGTGCCCGTGAGACGTGTGTACTAGCTCTCCTCTTGATGAGCTGTCACTGGTGGGTCCCATCACCTGCTGGAGAACCTCAGACGACACAAAAAGCTGTGGCTTGGATGACTGTGTAACTATGGGGGTGTTGCCGGTATATGTGGGTGGGCAGGAGAAGTGCGAAGAGGAGGAGACTCGGGGAGAGCTGGAGGAGATGATTCCTCCACACTGCTTCTCAGAAAGTGGGAGCTGAAGGGGTCAGTAAAATTAAACATAAGTAGGTGTGTGTGTGTGAGAGAGAGGAGCTTGAGTGTATTTAAACTCAAAGGAGAAAGAGAAACAGCCCCTGGAAAAGCAATGAAGGGAAGATAATTCCTACCTGGAGAAAAGTGAAAGTGTTAGTCAGTCATATCTGACTCTTCGGGATCCCATGAACTGTAGCCGCCAGGCTCCTCTGTCCATGGAATTTTCCAGGCAATAATACTGGAGTGGGTTGCCATGCCCTCCTCCAGGGCATCTTCCCGAGCCAGGGATCAAAGCCCTGTTTCCTGCATTTCAGGCAAATTCTTCACCACCTAAGCCATGAGGGAAGCCCCAATTCCTACCTTAAAAGCCCTGGAAAGAGTAGAAAGAAACATTTTAGAGCCTAGTGCACGGGAGGGGTTGCCTGCAAGGAAGGGATCATTCTCTTGTCTCCAAAAGGAGGAAGAGCAGGGGTGTAGGCAGATCTCTGTGCTGGCCTGGGAAACTGTGTCTCTCCACTGTTCGCTGTGTACGTGGGCACACACACCAGCCTTCCAGTGGGACTTGACACCCTTGCTGAGACACAGGGGGCTCCAGGTGAGAAGGAATGAGAGACAGGTGGACGCAGAGAAATCCAGGCAAGGTCTCCTGTCTCATTCCTTACGCTGTATCACCCTGCCGTTTTTTTCCCCCTGCCTGGATTCCTACTTTAAGACACCCAAATTCTGGAAATGTAAATTTATACTGTAAGTAACAACTGAAGTAACAAGGTCTGAAAGTTCAACATAAAATGCCATCCTCTTTTAGTAATGAAATATTAAATATTTTCCAGGGCAGTCTATAAAATTAAAGAAATCAAGTGATTTCACCATGTTAAAAAAAGACTCCATTTTTGACATTTTTTTTACTTCATTTGAATTAACAACACTGAAGAAAAGGCCAGATAAATTATTGTGTATGAAATGAAAACTCTGAACTTTTTCACATGTCAGAAATGCTTTGATGATGGTAGATTCTAACTTTTATTAGAGATCTCATATTTTGATGGTTTAAGAACACATAAAGTTCATTCCCTCCCTATCTTTCTCCTTTCCTCTCCCCGGGCATAACTTGAATGGTACACAAAGTCATTACTTTGAGCTGAGAGAAAGCTTAGATGCATGAGAGAGAGGGTCAGACCCACTTCCCTTGTGGACATGAGGCAGGAGATAGATGGGCTCCAGCTTAGATGTTACAGTCAGCCTCCTCTTTCCATTTCCAGATGCAATAGCAGCAGGAACAGGGCAAATGCTGGACTTTGCTCCAGTGGACACTTAAGACAACAGTCACAGTGGAGACAGAGGGGAGCTGAGCCCTGCCCAAATGGGAGAAGGAGAGGCCACACATTCCTCCTTCCTGAGGTCAAGGAGACCTTCCTGACTACATAGGTGCAGAAAAGGCCCCTCAGTGGTCAAAAGAAAGGGGGCCCCACCCCACAGCAGGTGATGCCAACCTACCCATAGGCCTCTGCACTGGAACCCATCTTGGCTAAGAGATGCACACACAGAGAGGAGGACCCTGAGATGCTCCAGACATGGACTCAGAGCCAGGCGGAGCAGGTGATCGGCCGGAGGAAGCCAGAAGAAAGGCCCGTGTAGGTGATTCAGACCACCCAAGGGCGTGACTCCTTCTCTGAGCCCACCCAGTGTCTATCCACACATACTCCTTTTCCTCCTAGGACCCTTTACATGTTTCACTACTTCTGTCTCTTTGTGGACATTTATTTCTACAAAACCAACAAGCCAGGGCTTTTACACTGCCCCGAGTGGTCTAGTGGCCAGGATTCAGCACTCTCACTGCTGTAGCCTGACCTCAGTCTCGGGCTGGGAACTGAAATCCTGCTGTGAGCTGCTGCAGGTGGAGGCCCCCCAAGATCAAACAGACTCCTTGTACCACAGTCCTGAAGGGATAACACCTGCGTGTGGCCAAGAGGACACGGACACAGGTGACCAGGTGATGTGACAATGGGGCTAAGAGGATCCCAGGCGGTGATGTGGCCACTGGAGGGAGACAGAAGGGACCCCGGAAGCAGGGCCTGACCTGCTCCTGGCACTGGGTCCTGACCTGTGTGAAGCCCGGCGGAGACTCCATTCCCACCAGAAAGCCATGCTCCACTCTGGACTCTCCAGTTGGGCGAGACTTTAACCAGCTTGGATGTTCACGCTTCCACACGATTTAAGTCTCAGACGCATCCCCAGGTGTGGCAGGACTCTTACCTTGGTAAGTGAGCTTAAACCCCGGCCGGTTCTGCGAGTGGTCGCTGTAGAAGTGGATGAGCGTCTCGTGAGTGGTGCTCAGCAGGGCGCTGGGCAGGTCGGGGCCGCTGAACTGCCCGATCATCGGGCTGGTATGATAAGGGCCATTTTGAATTTCAAGGTAATCATGATTAGCTTCAGTAGAAAAATTCAGAAACTGAATATGTGCACCTATGAAAAAAATAGGCAACAGTGATGAATTCTGGTATCAAAAGTTTTGATAATGCTTATCAACAGAGATTAAAATCACATTAGTTTCCTCCAACAATATCTCCCTAGGAGGCAGAGTGGAGGAACGTGTACATTGTGAATTACAACAAGCCTTACTTTGGTTTCACCTCTGCTGCCCACCAGCTGTGTGACCTTTGTCCTTGTAGTGAATGCTCCTAAATCATTTTGTGTGTGTGTGTGTGAAATATAGACACTATTGGCACTGCATCACAGAGGCATGCAGGTGTAATTCTCAGAATGGCGACTTATATCCACACACATGGCAGGGATTCTTGTCCAGCTGCTCTTAAAATCTTTACAATCAAAAACATAAGGTTGTAACTGTCAGTCAATTATCAACTTTATCAAGGAAGAAGCCAATATAGATCTAACAAAACACAACAAACTTTAGAAGTGGCTTTTAAGTGGATGTTCATATCATTGCACAAGAAATTTCTCAGTTTGAAAACTGTTTTGACTGTGTAGTGCCTGCAATGCAAATTACTGATGGTTTTGCAAGAAACCCACTCTGATAAATGCCACTCTGACTCTCACAACTGAATCTATTTTAACAAGAGGCCAAGGCTGTCCAAAGGACCCACGTTGCTGGTATAATATTGATCAGTATACCAGATAAGCTACTGTTGATAATTTAGAAGAGAATCAAAATAACTTAAGAGTTATTTGCTATGGTATTGTGGCATGTTTGAAAATTTGACTATTGTGCTTGAAATACTTATTAATTCACTTGAAAGTTTATTCAGAATGCCAAAGACATTAGTTTTCACATAAATCAAGGCAATTAAGTTAGGTTTATAAAGTCTAATAAAGAAAACCAACAGCTATTGTGGATCATTCTCTCAGCATGTGAGGAAAGCTTTATTTTGTGTTATTCTTCTCTTTATATATACATAAAGCTCTTTTTATCCATCTATCCATATATATAAAGCTCTTTTTATCTATCAAGATATATATATATATATATGATACATTTCCTAGGTTTTAGGAAATTAAAGATATTGTTATATAAAATATCATGTTTGCAAGGGTTACCTTACTTAGGTATACATGCTGAGAAAATGTAAAGCCAACATATCTACTTAGTATTGATGGAAAACATAGGTAACAAAAGCTGAATTCAGTCACAAAAAAAAAAGGAGAGGAGAAGAAGAAGAAAAGCTCATGCAAAGAGTAATAGGGAAGAGCAACCTAAAGCCACTCAATAAATTTTAAAATTATCCAAGAAACACAATTTTATCAATTATGGAGAAAACTTTGTTAGGAAGAACAAAAGCGTGAATAATGGTCTTTCTGGTTGGACACAGCGTAAGTCCATTATCACACTCGGGGTTCAGTTTACCAAGGTGACCACGGTTATTACCATCATTTCACAGGTGAGCAGAATAAGGTACAGGAAGGCTGGGTGTGATGTCCCAGGTAACACAGCAAGAGGCAGAGTTAGACTGACACCAATTCTGATGGACAGAGAACTCGTGTTCTCTGGTTTAGCATGGAAACATGCTAGACAAAAGCTAACCATCTCATGATGTTAAACATATTACAAATTTTTGGAGAAAATTATTTTGTATTAACATTTTTACCCTAGTTTGATAGAGAAAATTGGAAGGAAGTAGAAGGCAGAATATTTCAGGAAGAGATGCAAAAAGTAAAAAGCAGAAGGAAGACTTTCAGTGAAAGGTTTTTAATAAGACAACGAAACCTGGGTCATTTTTAGAATGAGCAGCTCAGTTTGTATCACACAGTCCAAGCGTATATACAACAGCACATGAGCAGGGAGGGAAGGAAGAGGCCGGCCTGGGGCTGGCCTGACTGTTCTAATGCCAGGCATCACAGATGACCGACATGCAACAGCTCTATATTTAAAACATTTCTGTAAATATGAAAAAATGTCAAGCATGTCTCTGTTGGAGAGACCTACATAAGCTAATTCATTTTCTTTCTAAATCCCAGTAGATACAATCAGTTGAAAGAAATTTGGAAGCAAGGAAAGAAGAAAGAAAGAGGGAGGGAATGAAAGAGACAGATAAAGAAAGAAAGAGAGAGGGAGAGGGAGAAAGTAAAGAAGGAGGAAGGCAGGCAGGAAGGAGAGAAGGCAAGACCAATGACTCCTAGCCCCTCCTTCTCACCCGTCCCCTCTCTGGACCTGCTGTGAGAGCTGAGCCACTTGACCAGTCTGTAAGCCACAGGTCTGTTCGTATCTGATCTATTCCCTTACTTACTGTTGAACTAAAAGCAGTTTGTTTTTATAGCCTGGCCCAAAATCTGACAATAAAGAGGTTTTTGTTTTGTCTTTTTGACTAATTAATAAACTATACTAATGGATTAAAAAAAATTTTTTTTGGTGGCCAAAAATATTTTTGGTGATACCAAAAAATATTTTGGTATCAAGGCCCAGAACCCCTATGGTCCACAGAGTTTCACAAACACCCATCACATTCTTCGCAGGAGGAAGAACACAGAAGCCAACATAAGAACAATAAAAAACAAATGATGAATTACTGAAATTTCTATTTTCCATCCAAAAACTATGAGATGGGATGTGAAACTAGGGCAAGATTAGAACACTTAAAATACTTATTCCCTTTTTGGGTATAAAATCAAATGGCAGGGAAACAGCTTAAAACAGGCTCATTTCAGATGTGCATAGGCAGATGTCAGATGAATTCATCCAGAGATACATTTGAAATTCACAGAGCAGCCCGGTCGAGAAAGAAATGAGAGACAGCAAGCAGATCAAGGGGCACAAAAACCCTAAAAGATGGCCAATATCTCCAAAGTAAAGGACATAGTGAAAGTGGCCTTTCGCTGATTTGGGATTAATCTTGAAATGGAAATGGAATTATGCAAATTATAATTTTATGAAAAATTAGCCTATTAAGCAGGATAAAGTATCCAGCCACATATCAAATCACCTAATATGTATCAGGAAAGAGAACTGAGCCCAGCTCTAATCTGGTTTAGAAAGGAATTTTTAGCTATCTAATTTTCAGCAAATTGTGTCCAGTTTGACATCATGAAGCCAAAATGAAGGGATTAAAATAAGCGTAACCTAGTTATCCTTTTATTATCTCATAGAATACCAAAAATGTGTTATTGCAACAAGAAAACCAATCTGAATGCCCATCTAGGGTGAAATTTATACTGACTGTCATTACACATTGGAAATTAAGTGTCAGGAAAAGGCATCTGCAGAAAGGATTTTGAATCTGGACTTGACAAAACTTTGAATACGTAAGCTGACCAATAGCTTCAGAGTTAAACTCTTGTCTCTTAGTTGACAGACCCTGTGGACAGTAAGTATTCTACTGTACATCTTCTGTGCATAATAAACATATAGCAAATGAGTGAATAGTTTCAGAATTCAGAGAGAATATTCTAAAAGAGTCTTTTGTATCCTCCCTATGCCTCTAGACGGCCCAAAGGCATAGCCAATTCTGACCCCACAGTGTGTGATGTAAGTGCAAGGGTTTCAAATGTAAAAGGTAAAGCAGAAAAAAAACTTGATTTAATCTCTGTTAACTATGCTTTTAGAAACTTTCAAGAAAACAGAGAGAAATTCTGTGTTGATTGGGCTCATACTCAAAGCCACACAAAACAGCAACCCAAATTTGTGGAAAGGAAAGGAAACAAAACATTAGATCATTTGGCCTAGTATCGAAGAACCGTGAATAGTCAGGTAATGCCTTCTCATGTCAGGCACTGCTTCAGAGCAGCTGTAGGAGAACAATATTTTATGGTGTTCATTTTAAAGATAAGGAACAAAAGTTCCAAAGCATGTCCGTAACTTGCAAATTCATACCAGCAGTCACTGGCAGAACTAGGATTTCTACTCATCTACACTCAGAGCCCAAAGACATGAGGGACCACCAGGTACCATGCCCGCCCCTCAGATGGAGTCCAGTGACTGCATGCTTGCAACAGAGCTGGGCCCTATGGTCCTTTACTTCCCATGTCCTCAGCCTGCCTTTTGTCTGGGGAAAAACCTTAGCCAATGAGTAAGTTTAATCAGAGAACTGAGAAAATGCAGTAACAAAGGAAAACAGTCAAAAGAGGCCAAATAATAATAATGATAAGAATAAAGTGCTCTCACTAAGCATAGTCAAGAACTTTTAGTTCTGTCTCATAGGCTATAAGTAATAATCTGAACCGTGTCCTGCAGCTGTGTTACAGACACTGAAAGCCCCCCAGCAGGTGAAGAAGTTAACTACAAGATGACCAGACTGTAGTCGTGACATGAGCTGCCACAGTTCTGAGAACTGGCCTCAAGGAAATGGGACAAACCAACACTGAAGCTGAAGACTGAAACTGTGCTGAAAACAATCAAGATGCTGGTCAGACCACCGATGACCAACTTGAAGAGGGCCGTCAGAGCTGGCTGTGCTATTTCCACATGTAGCTCCCTCCCTAGCCTAGGACAGCTCTTGTCCACTGGAGGGGAGTCAGACTTTGGACAGAGGTCCTCCCTCCCCATCGGATGCCGGCATCAAAATCAAGCAAACCTTCCTTCCCACCAACCTGGCCTCTTTACCGACTTTAGAGTGGGGAGCAGCTGGAACCCCGCTTTCGGTAACATGCTCTCACTGAGGCTGGATGCAGAAAGCAGTTGTCAGGGAGGTGAGTAATTAGCAAGCAGAGACGTAGGTGGGCTTTCATGTGATACCAGAGCGACAGGTCATTTTACATATATAATTAAGCTACTGGTCCATGGGTGTGGGAGAGAAGTAGGGTTAATCAGAAGAATTATGTGACTGAATTGGCTCCTGCTGAACAAGTGTGTCGGACATCTAACAGGTGGTCCCACGTATATTTGGTTGTGTGAAAAGACCAAAAATATTGCAACAAAATCTTCCACTGATGAAAAACATCTAATCTTGCTTTTTCTCAAGAAAAAGCACTGCTGTCTCATATTCTGGATAAGTGTGTCTTTCGGGGCTGGGGGAATTGGAGATACCTGTACCATAATTATTAGCAAAATAGCCATTAATACTTAAGCAACCCAAACCAAAACTGACAATCCAGGAAACAGGAAAGCACATGCCTCTTTCCTGTTTTAAAATCTCATGTTTAGGAGTATATTTATAGATTACACAACTTGTCAGAAAAAGCTAGTGTGGTACTTATATGTAATCTGTAGCAAATTATTCTGAAGCATAACTATCTACTCTAAAAAGCTAGGGACAGTCATACTATTTTGCATGTATTTAGGACTTCAGGCATAAAGTTCCTTTTGGCTTATTCAATATGCTTTTTTAAGCCTAGTGCTGGGCAATATCATACATTTTAAAGACAAGTAATTTTAATCATAACATTCCATAATTCTTTTTAAAATTTCAACCTTTTTTGAAATAAATGATTTCTTAGGCTCATAGATCATGGTCATGAAGTCAGAAGATCCCTGTTCTTTTTTTCCTGAATTATTGTCTGGTGTACTGGTTTCTTAGTGAGGGAACAGTGAAAGGAAGCATGCCAACCAGCAGGCTTCTCACACCATGGAACAGTGAGGCTGGGAAAATAAACTAATGAAATGTACATATCCATTCATGAGTAAAATGTTTCTAATGAGGTTTGAAAGGAAAGTGGGAAGGATTTGAAACAACAATTTAAAAACCAGCTAGTATTTGCTGTTGTTATTTACAACATGCCAAGCCCTATACTAAATTTCTCGCCTGAACTGTTTCAGTGAATCCTCCATAACCCTGTGTGGTCATTTCATTTTTAGAGATGAGGAAAGTGAGGTTCCTGGGGTTCACTCAGTTCAGTAGCCTATACTATCATTATTTTCCTAGTAAGTTTGTGGCCCTCAAGATGCTAAGGCCCTGTTGGAACCTCACGGGTCAACTGTAACTCCAATCTAGCCCCTGACATCTGACTCCAAACACGGAACCGACCCTGTCCAGATCTTGAGATCCTCAGGGTAAGAAAACAGACCAGGCTTTGAGGATGGCTGAGCCAATGTTGGTTAAAGTCAAAGGCCTCTGTTTGGCATAGCACGGGGCAGAATTACAGCCTCTCTGCTCAGAGAGTTCATTGTTTAAAAAATAAAATTTAAAAACGTGGAACAAATAGAGCACCTCTGTGACCCCTGTGAACTGTCCGCCCTTCCTTGTGCCTTCACACTCCGGGGCCGCTTCAGGGGTCATGGAGCCGAATCTCACATGTGCCCTCCCCAGTGGAGGCCTCTTTTCCTTTCACACCACTCCCTTACACCCTCCTTAGCTGCTCTCAGCTGAGCAGGTGGACCTCCCCCCTTTTCTCCTCCTGGCACAGACTCTAAAAGCAAGAGCTTTGAAAACTTAATTAAAATATATAACCTTCTTCCAGGGCAACGATTTCCATTTCCGCTTCTGTCCACCCATCATTCAGCTAACATTCACTTAGTGCATAAGTACTCAATAATATGGACATTCTGGGACATTCCCCGAGTATCTAATCTGGCACCCTCATCCAGTGTGTATTCTTTGGACAATTGCAGGTGGGGAATCCCAGGGACGGCGGAGCCTGGTGGGCTACCTGCCGTCTATGTGGCTGCACAGAGTCGGACACAACTGAAATGGCTTAGCAGCAGCAGCAGAAGCAGCAAGTGGGGAAAATCCAAATTAACGAACTAAAATATAAGGAAACCATGAGGCAGATGAGGAGAGGCATGACAGAGAATCAAAATTTCACAAAGACTGTGCATTTCTGAAGCAGGCCAGAATGGGATGTTAGTGTATGTAACAATTAAAATTATGAATTATTTAAGGTAGGTAACCTGGAAGTTCATAACTAAATGTGATTTTTATCATTTAGGTAATTTTCATAAACCTAAATCAATGCAAGGAGTAATGACAAAAATTTATAAGACAATACTAAAATGAATCATAAGCTGAAAAACACTTTAAAAATTATTTGAAAGAAACCACTACCATTATTGACTTCCAGTGATAGATTATTGAAGGTGGTATAATGAATAAAGAGCTTGATGATTGAATTAGGGATGCTATCTTGCACTGAATGTGACTACTATATCATCATTCTGCCAATTTAGTTTGCCTTGAAAAGACGTGTACGGCTAAACTGACTTTTCCATTTCTTTTTTTTTCCATTTATTTTTATTAGTTGGAGGCTAATTACTTTACAATATTGTAGTGGTTTTTGCCATACGTTGACATGAATCAGCCATGGATTTACATGTATTCCCCATCCCAATCCCCCCTCCCACCTCCCTCTCCACCCAATCCCTCTGGGTCATCCCAGTGCACCAGCCCCGAGCACTTGTCTCATGCATCCAAAAAAATGTGGCTTACAGATTTAAGTAAAGCATTGGCAGAATAACTTTGAGAACAGAAAGTTATTTGAAAAGTCAGTTTGCACAGACTTTTGGACTCTGTGCAAACTGACTTTTCAAATAACTTTGTTCTCAAAGTTATTCTGCCAACACTTTATTTAAATCTGTAAGCCACATTCAATTAAAGACATAGTTAGGTCAACAGAATAAGGCTCACTTTTTACTTAGTCTAATTCTTTCCTAGGAATATATTAAAAAGTTGGATCTTGAGGAATTAAAAAACGTCATCACTCACCATAGCCTATGGGCAGGGAGATCTTCCAGGTGCAGTCCAAGTTGTTGGGGTAGGTGCCGGGGAACCCGGGGCTCAGGACCACTCCCCCCATGCTGCTCAAGGTGCCCCCGCAGGTCGCTGTTAGAATGACAAGTGGAGTGAGTGCCCGGGGGGCCACGGCTTTCTAGGACAATTCACTCTCCCCACCCCCAAGTGAGTGTGCTACCCAGAAGCAAGTCTTCAGAAATGCATTTGCCCCTAGCTTCAGCACATACATAAGTGGGATGCCCTTTAGTTATTTCTGGGTCTAGTTCTCCCTGCTGAGCATCCGTGGATTAAGAATAAAGACAGGTCTTCAGAGTTTATCTCCTTCTGGGCCACAGAGGCTCTCAGAACAGCTTGGTCAAGCTTACACATTTCGGGCAGGATCCTATTGTCTTCCAAGTTCTGAGTGGCTGTACTGGTTCCTACTTACTGATGGTTAGTCCTGTGCTCACATGTAGGCTGAGATAAACACAATTCACTGCTTGATTCTCACCACAACCCTAAAGGGTGGGTGTTATTATCATCCCACTTTACAGACAAGGAAACCAGGTATGAGGAGATTAAGGAATTTGTCTAAGGGTACACCCCTGGCAAACAGCACAAGCAAAATTTTATTTCAGCCCCATCTGGTTCTAGAATCCAAGTTTCTTTGTTAGCTTTAAGATTTATTGTATTGATTTAATTTTTGGCTGCACTGAGTCTCAGTTGCGGCATGTGGGCCTTCTCTAGCTGTAGCGAGGGGCGGGGGCTACTCTTCGTTGCAGTGGTGGGCTTCTCATTGTGGCGGCTTCTCTCGCTGCAAAGCACGGGCCAGAGGGTGTGCAGGCTTCAGTGGCTGCAGCTCAGAGTGTGGGTTCAGTAGCTGTGGCACCGGGCTTAGCTGCCCTGCAGCAGGTGGGATCTTCCTGGAGCAGGGATCAAACCTGTGTTCCCTGCATTCGCAGGTGGGTTCCGAACCACTGGACTGCCAGGGAAGCCCCCTAGAATCCAAGTTTTAACCAGGATGTTACCTTCAGAATTCTTCCCAGCTTTGGAATGCAGCTAACTGAGACCACTTTCTCTGCAACCAATCTCACACTGTGAAGATGGGTGTGACTGTAAGTTCTCATCCCTGGACTTACCTTGGTTACGCATGTTTTACAATGTTAATGCTGAGGTTTGATAGTAAAGAAACATGATTGACTTTATAACACACATGCCAAATAATATAGGTTGAAGCAGATGAAGTTCTAATACTTGAATTTGACCATTTCTGACCTATTAAAATGGTGATTTCTTGTATTTCAAATCAATCATGCAAATGATGTTGTTTCTTTCAAGGAAGCCACAGGAAAAGGCTTTACTCACATTCTAACAATGCTCTTACTAGGCAAAATAATTTCGGGAGGCCAATCTCAGAGACCCTCAAGATTTTTTTTTTTAATGACGGAGGTAGAAAGACTTTATCTGCTTTGGGTAAATTTGATATGAAGAAAAATCTGAACATCTTATAAAAAGTTTAATGAATATGGTAATTGTTCAAGCTAGGGAACCCTAGTCTAGGTGTCAACAGTGTGCAAGTTAAAAATGTTAAGTTTTTAAAAAACTTTGAATGTATGTTTGTGGGTGAGTGAAAAATTCCAGCAATGTTTTAAACATTAACTTTGTTGCTATCTGGAGAATAACTTCTCAGGTTAACTCTCTGCGGGAGACACCACTTGTCTGAGAATAAAGGCTCTGGCCTGCTTGTACCCACAAGTCTGAGGGTGCTGTTGTGGACACTGGTGGGTCTGAGCAGCGAGCCTGCATGCATTTGGCAGTGATGTTCCCTCAATGCCCCCAGGAGTCTTGCAATCTGCGCCGAGGTTAAACATGCAGGTCAAAGCACAAACCACATCAATGATGGAAATACCAAAACCACTCTGAAATATAAGTGACATTTGTGCCATTTTGATTTTGAGCATTTTTTTTTACCAAGAACAGAAAAGAGACTGGAAATTATAAAATATGAAAACATCTGTGTATATCTTCACTGAGGACTGAGACTGTCTTATAGGAGCAGCCAACCCAGTGCCTGAATGATGGAACTGATCATCAAGACCCACGTCTTTACATGAGGACCATGATGATCATCCCAGGAGAGAGAAGGGGCCTGATATGAGTGCGAATCCTGCAGACTCACAGTGACAGTCTAATTCCTTAAGTGCTTAGTTACCACATCATATGACTGTGCCTTTGTTCATTGCAAAACACAAGAACCACTGGATGGGCGTGCAAACACAGCCCCAAAAGCCACGCATCAATCCCTTTTTCCTTTGTGATATTTTAAAAGCCCATCAATGGGCCGCTCTTACTTTATATTCATCTAGTGACACCATCATGTTCCTTCAGCTCCACCCTCAAGTTTCAGTCTCCTCCCCAGCCTCACTGTCCACCAGCAGTTGGCGGCCTGACTTCCGGTCTCCTGCTGGAGAAACTCCCTCCTTGCCAGACCCTTTCTTATTGTTAAATAGTGTATTCAAAGAGTTACTGGTAAAATGCTATTGTTAAAGGACAACGTGTTTATCTTGATACACGAGCAAGGGACCTTGGGTTTTAACTGGGTTTGTGTGTCTTATTTTATGCAGATTCCTGATCTTCTGGTGAGAACACATGGGATTTTTGTGCCAGGGCACAGGCCACGCCCTGGCTGAGGGACCCCATGGTACATGGAATGCCATCTCAGTGCCAGCCCTGACCAACAACCTGGCCATCCTGGGACTTGTCATGATCCTCAAAATACTGTCAGGCAGGCGCTGGGCTTCCCAGGTGGTGTTAGTGGGAAAGAACCCACTGCCAATGCAAACACAGGAGGACGGCACAGCAACCCACATTATTCTCTCCTGGGAAATCCCATGGACAGAGGAGCCTGCTAGGCTACATCCATGGGGCTGCGAAGAGTCGGACCTGACTTAGTGACAAAACACCAAGAACATATGAAACATGCAGAATAAAAACAGAATTAATTTCATTTGGCTAATATAGGTAAGCTATTTGAAAAAAATATCTCCTCACATAATACAGAGTGCCAGCAATGGCACATCATTTGATTGAAAATCTACTGTGAGCTCATTTCATTTCAAAGCTTAAAATATATGAATCCCCAAGTCTAAGGGAAAGTTCTTCATTTAAAAGTAAGTAGGGAGATGGATGTTCGGTGCCTGAGTCCCTATCCTGATGAGCCCCTCCACAAGAGCGGCTGCCTTTATAGCAAATACTTTTTGATAGAAAATAGTATCCCTCCAACTTCACACCACCTATTGGCACTTCTGAATTTTTTTTCTGGAGATGTGGTTTTCCTGAGGCATAAACAGGACCCTTCTCAGACTCTCAGACCAGCTACATTCATTCCTTCTCATGCATTAATCCACTGGCTTCTGACATGCATGTGATGTGTGGTTAGTGCCTGGAGCTAGCTGGCATCTAATCCCTGTCGGTTGGTCCAGGGATGCTGGAAAAGCAGAGTACCCACATCCAGGGGGAGAAGATGTCCAATCTCAGTTACACCTCTACTGCATTATTAAGTTATTATCTAACAGATGTTTGAAAGGAATTTAAAAGTTCATCTTTGAAGCCCAAAAGGAGCTCAGGAAGATCACCACTGCATTATTGAGAATGTTCGCAGCAACACAAGGACGGAAGGAGTGTCCGTACCAACGCAGAGGGGAGACGGGTAGTTCCAACGCCGCACGGTCCCCGGCATACAGGAGATGTGGGAACGGCCCTGCTCGGAAAAGATGAAATGAAATTCACCAGCTGAACATGGAGTACTGAAGGCTTCAGTGTTTGCAAGAATATCTGTATTCTCTTTGGTTTTCCCTTTTGATTTAATCACAAATGTAAAAAATACCAAACCCGTGAAATCTGTTCTACTAATGTGTATTAATGAATCTCATTTGGAATCAAAATAGAAAAAAAAACCCATAATCACTGTACTTCTCGTCACTAAAATAAAAATCTTGTAATGTGCCTTTCAGTGGTCTGTATTTCTGCCAATATGCTTTCCTAATGCTTAAGATGCCGAACTGAATTGACCAAAGTAAGTTTGCTTTTTTTTTAAGTCATCAAAAGTTATCACTTTTGGGCAAATGATTAGGAAATATTAGGTGTTCAACGGTGAAATGTCACTGGTAAGTAATCTGCTTATGCAAAGGTAACTTTCACGGTTGCCTATGGTTCACAAGCAACTCACACAATCTTTATGGTTTAGCAAAAAATTGGGTCAGTTCCTCCTTTATTGGAGAAAAGGGAGACTTAATATTCATTTTATCATCAGTCTCACAAGCTGTCATATTAATGCTTCTGCAATGAAATTAATCCTCATCGCTCAGGATCTCTTTAGCCTTTAAATACATGAAGTTTTCAACTTTCCAATCTTCAAAAAATTTGTCCTGTTTTTCCTGTTTTAAAAATCAAACAGCAGTGGGTTAAATTCTCAGTGCTTTGGGTTAACATTTCTTTTATGATGAAAGAGAAGGTAATGAATGGGCATCCCTGTGTGCAAACTATTCATGTTTACTTTCTTCCTCATTGTGACTTGGTGGGCTTATGTGACACGTGTGCTAACCTTGTGAATTTCCATTTGCCAAACAGAATTGGCACAGAGGCAGATGACAAACACATCTTTAACTCGTGTTAAATAGTTCCAGCCATGTTGGGAATGCGTCAAACAAGAATTTGCACTAAGGCTGTTATCAATGACAAACCAATTCCCCAAGCTTAGGAAGATTTCACACTCGATTTGTCTGCCACAGAACTCATTTACTCCTATTTCCTAACATTCTTAAAAGTTGCTACAGTACAGGAAGACTACGTTTATACGTAAAGAAGACACTCAGGACGATGCTTTTCCTGCCAGGTTTCATGCTCTGTGTCTTCTCATTCTCTGATCTATTACATTATCTTTAATAAACTTATTCCCAAATTTTGGACAAGCATAAAGTATAGAAGCCTTTAGAGACATTTATGGAAGACTACCAATAAAATGGTTATATATTACGAGCCTAGGGCATATTCCATTATTGATTTCAACGAAGATATTTCATATTAATGATTCCAGCTAAAATTGTTATACTGGATCCAAAACAAACCAGGAATTTGTGTATTTATTTATTAGCCTAAAATGGGAATTTTCTTTTTCCCATCTTTTAAAAGGAGAGCAAAACAGGTTTAAAGAAAAGGAAATAATTAATCCTGTAAATATCCAGGATTTATATTTGATGCATCCCATCTCTGCAGTTTTATCCTGAATCACACTAGGCAGATGCATTTATAGACATTTGTGCATAAATCATACAAGGAACAGTGCTTTTCGTGAATACTGTAATTTATGTACACTGCCAGTCCAAATATACTAGTGTGTTAGCAAAATTTCCAATTGTTAGCAATTTTTTGAAAACTCTAGAATCCTTTTTAACTCATGCGAGTGAGAGAGAGTCACAGCTTGTATACTCAATGCTTGACATTGTTATGAGGGGAAAAAAAAAAAAGAATCTTAGTTTGTATTTGAAAACCTGAGCCAAGTGGCCTGCCTGGGCTCTACAGATGTGTGCCTGCAGACCTTTATCTACAAGTAGCACATTAAATAATTCACTATAAGACATGTCCTTACTAAATAACCCTTTCTAGTTTCTTCTCTGAGGGCTGGAGAAGTCTCCCTCACAAAAGGATGCTGGCAGTGACTGCAAAGTGCCATCAGAGAAGTGTAGAGACAAGGTGAGCACAAGGGAGGGAGCCCACGTGAGAGCACGTGGGACTTGGAGAAATGGAGGCAACACGGTATTTACATGGTTTACGTAAATTTATGAAGGGCAAAATAAATAAATAAAAACAACCAAAGGCATATTAATAAAAAGGCTTGTCAGTATAGAGTGAGGTGTTCCAGTAAATGAAACCCTTGGGATTGACTCATAATTCTTTTTACTGTAACACATGAAATGGGAGATCTCTGTCTTAAACAATCAGTTACCACTGTCTTCATGTGCTTGGTTACAGACTTGCTTCCATGGCAGACCTTTCAGCAAAGCTTTTTCAGTAACTGTTCTACTTTCCAAGTGTCTGCCCACCTTTCTCCAGAGCCAAAGCATTACTATAATACCCACCAAGATCTGTACATGCAGGTGGTAGGCTATTTGGGTGAAGATGTTTACTTACAATAATAGCAGCGCTGGCTTTCATTTGCTGAAGTATCAGGCATTTTGCTGATATTTTCTCAGACTTAGAACCTGGGCTGACTTCTGCACGTGGCCCCTGTGGATCTGCCGGCTTCTCTGCCCCTGATTCCTCCCACGGCCTGGCTCACTTCCCCCTCCCCATCAAAGACGAGCCCCCAGTGTCCACAGCATGAGGCTGTGTGGGACTAACGCGGGTTTGTACATGAAGACTCGACAGGCAGGCCATCAGCACTAAGAACCTGGGCTGACTTCTGCACGTGGCCCCTGTGGATCTGCCGGCTTCTCTGCCCCTGACTCCTCCCAGGGCCTGGCTCACTTCCCCCTCCCCATCAAAGATGAGCCCCCAGCGTCCACACCATGAGGCTGTGTGAGACTAACGCGGGTTTGTACATGAAGACTCGACAGGCAGGCCATCAGCTTCCTACAATCGCCACTGCTGCTCTGACTTGTCTCAATAACGCAAAAGGTTTACTCCAGCACACATGCAGAAATGGAATCACATACTACACTGTCATTTTACTGCTGTGTCACTGAGACTTCTTTCTGACGATTACTCAAGCTTTATTTAGGTTGGTTACAGAATATGACTAAAAATAATGCTCTTGAAATACTATCAGCTTCAGTGTTATAATAAGCAAACAGCAGAAAGTACTCTTTTACTTGAATTAACTGAAACATAGAAACATAAGTAGGCTTAAATATTTCTATTGGACTTAGGAATAAATATACTTGTTTAGATTGCAGTGTCCACTGTTGGTAAGGAGAATTATACATGAATTATGCTAAAGGACAGAGATAAACTATTTTGGGAGTACACTTATTTGTGGTTAACTAAGAAAAACAAATGACTGGAAAATGACAAATGTTGCTATACACTGATGTATAAAATGTTTATTAAAACTTTTCTACAAAAATTTTTAATAGAAAAACCAATAAAAGATTATTAGAAATCTGCTTAATGTTTCTTGAAAATTGTTTAAGTCTATTATTTGAGCCCCATATTTACCTGACACACAAATTGACCCTTGATGATTTACTGAACTAAATCATAAGAACAGCTTGCAATGCAGGACCAGCACGGGACTCAGAGCCAGTCCAATAATGGGGTTGCTAGGATGGTGCTATTAACTAGTCTGTGTCACCACTTTGTCCCTGAGAATTGTAACTGTATGGTTACTGGGAGACTACACATTTCATTCTGAAATAAAATTATTATGAAAATAATATAATCAACCTTGAAAGGATCCTTTATCATTTAGAAGCTATTTCTGCATCATCACTGAATTTACCTGTATGCATGGTTAATGCAAGAGCTCTGATTCACAAATGGAGTGAGAAACTAAGTTAGGTCTCTCTGCGCATCTTGGGCTTTGTCTTAAGTGAGCTGGCTGAGGATCACCATGCTGAGTCCATTATTAAGAATTTCAACAACAAAATGAAGTACCTGCAGCGTGTACCCAGGCTCACATTGGAAGGACAGCACGTCATTCACCATGTATCGGTCTCCAGTTTTGATGCCGTTGCTGGGAAGGGCTGGCTCTTGGCAAGCAGCAAGACCCACAGCTATGAAAACACAAGACACACACTTATAAGCCATGTAGAATAAACAGTGGTCTTATTACTCAAATAGCAAAACAGTGTTTCTCTGCTGCTCTTCTCCTGTAGAAATGAACAAAGATGTTAACTCTCTCTTGTTTACCAAGAAAACTCTAACTTCCAATCAGCTACGAGCTAAATCGTAAATACTGGTTTGTTTCACTTTCATCATGTATTGAATCGAGCATTTCTTGAGAGAATAAAATTCTTTCCTTCCACATTTAGCATAAAACACACCAGTCCTAATGCATACACATTTTAAAAGGTCTTTAAAGAAACCGCTTCCTAGATGCAAATACCTATGATATGGCTCCTCTGCTTTTTGTTTTTCAAGCATACTGAGAGGTCTTTTTGAAAATCTTTAACTGTGAATTTGGGAATTCTATCCTTCTGGAAAAATATGAGAACAAATATTTTATTATTTATTTAAAAAAAAATTTTTTTTAAATTGTAGTGGTTTTTGCCATACATTGACATGAATCAGCCATGGATTTACATGTGTTCCCCATCCTGATCCCCCCTCCCGCCTCCCTCCCATTCCCATCCCTCTGGGTCTTCCCAGTGCACCAGTCCTGTGAGAACAAATATTTTATATTCAGTCTATCTCTTTCTCATTTAAAGAGAACAACAGCAATTAAGTGGGCACTTTCCTAAATGGAATTGCCTCTAGCTAAGGCACTAACAAAAATGTTTTAACTGCATCATATGATATTGGAATTCAGCTTAGAATATCATACAAATTAACTCTAAGAAACATTTAACATTGACACTTATTTGTATAAACTCTGTCCTACTTGTTGAAGCGTGATGAGCATGGGATTCTGTAAAAGACACACACTTTGGGCCATACCCCAGAACTACTGACTCAGAATCTGCTTGGTAACACCGTCCCTGGTGAGTCTTATGCATTAAAGTTTGAGAACAATTTCAAGCCAAGAGACATACAAATTTTGTCTGGGATAAGTGGGTGTGAGGTGTATTATAATATTTTCCTAAGTTGAAATTGATTTTTCCTTAAATGGCTGTATATCAAAAACTATAAAACACCACAGGCATTAAGTGGCAATATTTTTTATTCCTAGCATAATATTTTAAGCCATTTGGTATTTTCATAGATGATAAAATTGCTAAATATGAAAAATATAATCACTTATGCTCTTAATGTTTTTTTAATTTGCAAAAGTCTAATTTATCTCCTAGAATGTCAACATTCACTCTTGCCATCTCCTGTTTGACCACCTCCAATTTGACTTGATTCATGGACCTAATATTCCAGGTTTTTATGCAATATTTCTCTTTAAAGCATTGGACCTTGCTTCTATCAGCACTCAGCAGTGGCAAAAGGACTAGAAAAGTTCAGTTTTCATTCCAATCCCTAAGAAAGGCAATCCCAAAGAATGCTCAAACTACTGCACAATTGCACTCATCTCACACACTAGCAAACTAGTGGTCAAAATTCTCCAAGCCAGGATTCAACAATATATGAACCGAGAACCTCCAGATGTTCAAGCTGGTTTTAGAAAAGGCAGAGGAACCAGAGATCAAATTTCTAACATCTGCTGGATCATTGAAAAAGCAAGAGAGTTCCAGAAAAACATCTATTTCTGCTTTATTGACTAGGCCAAAGCCTTTGACTGTGTGGATCACAATAAACTGTGGAAAATTCTGAAAGAGATGGGAATACCAGGCCACCTGACCTGCCTCTTGAGAAACCTGTTTGCAGGTCAGGAAGCAACAGTTAGAACTGGACATGGAACAACAGACTGGTTCCAAATAGGAAAAGGAGTATGTCAAGGCTGTATATTGTCACCCTGCTTATTTAACTTATATGCAGAGTACATCATGAGAAATGCTGGGCTGGAAGAAGCACAAGCTGCAATCAAGATTGCCAGGAGAAAATATCAATAACCTCAGATACGCAGATGACAGCACCCTTATGGCAGAAAGTGAAGAGGAACTAAAAAGCCTCTTGATGAAAGTGAAAGAGGAGAGTGAAAAAGTTGGCTTAAAGCTTAACATTCAGAAAACTGAGATCATGGCATCTGGTCTCATCACCTCATGAGGAGACAGTGGATACAGTGTCAGACTTTATTTTTTTGGGCTCCAAAATCACCGCAGACGGTGACTGCAGCCATGAAATTAAAAGACGCTTACTCCTTGGAAGGACAGTTATGACTAACCTAGATGGCATATTCAGAGAAGGCAATGACACCCCACTCCAGTTACTCTTGCCTAGAAAATCCCATGGACGGAGGAGCCTGGTAGGCTACAGTCCATGGGGTCGCTAAGAGTCGGACATGACTGAGCGACTTCACTTTCACTTTTATGCATTGGAGAAGGAAATGGCAATCCACTCCAGTGTTCTTGCCTGGAGAATCCCAGGGATGGGGTCGCACAGAGGCAGACACGACTGAAGTGACTTAGCAGTAGCAGATAGCATAGTAAAAAGCAGAGACATTACTTTGCCAACAAAGGTCTGTCTGGTCAAGGCTATGGTTTTTCCAGTGGTCATGTAGGGATGCGAGAGTTGGACTGTGAAGAAAGCTGAGTGCCGAAAAATTGATGCTTTTGAACTGTGGTGTTGGAGAAGACTCTTGAAGAGTCCCTTGGACTGCAAGGAGATCCAACCAGTTCATCCTAAAGGAGACCAGTCCTCGGTATTCATTGGAAGGACTGATGCTGAAGCTGAAACTCCAACACTATGGCCATCTCACGTAAAGAGCTGACTCGTTGGAAAAGACCCTGATGTTGGGAGTAATTGGGGGCAGGAGGAGAAGGGGACAACAGATGGCTGGATGGCATCACCGACTCGATGGGCGTGAGTTTGAGTAAACTCCGGGAGTTGATGATGGACAGGGAGGCCTGGTGTGCTGCGATTCATGGGGTCGCAAAGAGTCAGACACGACTGAGCAACTGAACTGAACTGAACTGAAATTATCTCCCTCTCTTTTGTAACTTTAGAACATAAAATGCAACTATTCAGTATATTTTTAAATTTCACCTTTTTTCTTCCTATCACATATAGGCATGAACTCCTATTGTATGCCATTTATTTTTTATTTGACCCTTAATAGATATTTAAATTAACCTTGGTATAAAATTTCTAACCATAATTTGACATATGAAAAAGATATTTATGATTCTGAAAACACATGATAAATATGTATTTATTTTTGTCTAGTATTTAGAGCACAGAAGAACTATACAAAATCCACAGAAGAACTATACAAAAAAGATTGTCATGACTCAGACAACCATGATGCTGTGATCACTCATTTAGAGCCAGGCATCCTGGAATGTGAAGTCAAGTGGGCCTTAGAAATTATCACTATGAACAAAGCTAGTGGAGGTGATGGAATTCCAGTTGAGCTATTTCAAATCCTAAAAGATGATGCTGTGAAATTGTGTACTCAATATGCCAGCAAATTTGGAAAACTCAGCAGTGGCCACAAGACTGGAAAAGCTCAGTTTTCATTCCAACCCAAAGAAAGACAATGCCAAAGAATGCTCAAACTATTGCACAACTGCACTCATCTCAAACACTAACAAAGTTAATGTTCAAAATCCTCCAAGCTAGGCTTCAACATTATGTGAACCATGAACTTCCAGATGTTCAAAGGGGATTTAGAAAAGGAAGAGACACCAGATATTGAATTGCCAACATCCAATGTATCAACAAAAAAGCAAGAGAGTTTCAGAAAAACATTGACTTCTGTTTTATTGACTATGTCAAAGCCTCTGACAGTGTGGATCACAACAAAATGTGGAAAATTCTGAAAGAGATGGGAATACCAGACAACCTCACCCACCTCCTGAGAAATCTGTATGCAGGTCAGGAAGCAACAGTTATAACTGGACATCGAACAATAGACTGGTTCCAAACTAGGAAAGGATCATGTCAAGGCTGTATATTGTCACCCTGCCTATTTACTGTATATGCAGAGTACATCATGTGAAATTCTGGGCTGGATAGATGAAGCACAAGCTGGAACCAAGATTGCTGGGAGAAATATCAATAACCTCAGATATGCAGAGGACACCACCCTTATGGCAGAAAGTGAGGAATGAATTAAAGAGCCTCTTGATGAAAGTGAAAGAGGAGAGTGAAAAAGGTGTTTTAAAACTCAAATTCAAAATAAAAGGAATCCAGATTGGAAAAGAAGTAAAACTCTCACGGTTTGCAGATGATGTGATCCTCTACATAGAAAACGCTAAAGACATAATCAGAAAATTATTAGCACTAATCAATGAATATAGTAAAGTTGCAGGATACAAAATTAGCACACAGAAATCCCTTGCATTCCTATACACTAACAATGAGAAAACAGAAATTAAGGAAACAATTACATTCACCATTGTGACAAAAAGAATAAAATACTTAGGAATAAATCTACCTAAAGAAACAAAAGACTTATATATAGAAAACTATAAAACACTGATGAAAGAATTTAAAGATGACACAAATAGATGGAGAAATATACCATGTTCATGGATCAGAAGAATCAATACAGTGAAAATGAGTATACTACCCAAAGGAATCTATAGATTCAATGCAATCCCTATCAAGCTACTAACGGTATTTTTCAGAGAACTAGAACAAATAATTTCACAATTTGTATGGAATTACAAAAAAAACTTGAATAGCCAAAGCAATCTTGAGAAAGAAGAGTGAAACTGGAGGAATCAACCTGCCTGACTTCAGACTATACTACAAAGCTACAGTAATCTAGACAGTATGGTACTGGTACAAAGACAGAAATATAGATCAGTGGAACAAAATAGAAAGTTCAGAGATAAACCCACACACCTATGGACACCTTATCTTCGACAAAGGAGGCAAGAATATACAATGGAGAAAAGAATCTCTTTAACAAGTGGTGCTGGCAAAACTGGTCAACCACTTGAAAAGGAATGCAACTAGAACACTTTCTAACACCATACACAAAAATAAACTCAAAATGGATTGA